TAAAAGAGGAGCAATATTTCTCTCTAGACATTCCTTTAATTGCTCATCCAGCCAAAATAGACACTACTGTCCAGACCAGGGCTTTCCGCTTGGATTTTTCAAGTTCTTTGACAATGCACTGAAGTGAAATGAAGAGCAAGCAACATGTATGTGCAGATGATCTTCTGAAATCAGTGGATAGTTTCCCTACTAGAGAAATGTATCAGTGCTTATGAATAGGGCATTAGGTTGGTTTTATTTTAAAAGAAAACAAAATACTTCCATTTACCACTGCAAAAATTGTATGTATTAAATATAGCAAATGTACCTAATTTTTCATTTCACTTCTTGAAGTAATTTTTGGCCTTATGGTTAGAAATCAAGATAATGAGTTACTTGTGTTTAACATTTCTGAAAGACTGGGAACATTATTAACAATGGATATACCATAAGTGCTGTATTTAAACAACAGTGCTGCTTCATTATTTATTACACTCTCTCTCTCACTTAAAATGATGATTTTTTTCAGATCAGTGTCTCTGTCAAACTTGGAGTTTGGATAGTACTGAAAACATTCCCTCTTGTTCCTAGAATGTTTCTTTCTCTAATGAAGAGTTGTAATAACAGGATTGTTAGTAAGATGGTAGTATTTAAGCAGTTGTGACGTGAGTATCAAATAGCACCAGCTCTTAGTGTTTTATTCAGTCTGTGTTAGAGAAAAATTACAGCACACAATGCAAGGCAAAAATAAGTCAGCCTTTTCTAAAATCCCATTCTTGGCTGAAAAGTCATGGAGGTGTTTGCCAGTTACAATATAGGCCACTTGGTGTGGTCATGGATTCACAGTGAGTGCATTGTCTCAGCTGGAGGGAAGCTTTTGTTTCTCTATCCCCATAGAACATTCTTCTTGGGTAAAAGAAGAATCTACTCTCTGAACTGCTTCAGAGGCTGTCCACCTCTCCAGCTGATCTAACTCTGTCCCTTGTTCATCATATAAGCTCCTGTCCTTTTCGTAGAAGAACTCTGTTTCTCTAAGCATCCACAGAGTGGGAGTTTACAAGCAGGAAAATGCACCGGCGTGGTTACTTGCAGGTCACTGCAGTGTTAGGCTGTGTCAGGCCGGTACACTTTACTTTGCTCTTCTTCCATCAGTGTAATCTTTCCCTTGTGTCATGTGAGGTTCCTCATGCTCATTTTTTTATCAAATAGTGGCTTTAACTTAGTGTTAAAAGTGTTAACCTACACATCCCCTTGCTTTTCAGTGTTTTCATGTTTCCATCTTTACTCTCCCCCTTCAGTTATAGGGCTGGTTCTGGTGCAGTTCACCGGCTAAAATCAAAAGCAGCCCAATGCTTCTAGCTCATAGGATGCAACAACTTATTTGAAAGGTCCACAAGCCCCCAGGAATGATCTATGGATGGAGATCTGAAGTGTGCCTGAAGGAATGAGTGTGTGTAACAGCTATGAGAGAAACTTCAAGTGGTTGATGCCCACAGCATCGTAGATTTTCTGTCAGGACAGACTGAGCTTAACTTTAACAATCATGAAGGTTACTTGCCTGCATTTGAGGAGTTACTTATTCATGACGCTGACAATTTCAAACTCTGTTGCCTGGCAGATTTGCTTTAAGCCAAGTCAGTGCAAAATATCCACTTAGCAGCGGCAGTCTTGTTTATTTTCCTTTGGGGAAAGAGGCAGGTACACAGGTACTTGTGCTGGCCTAAGTGTGTAGATATCTCTACAAATAAGTACCTAACTTATTGACACATTTGTATTGGAGGATTTGTATAGTTTTGAGATGCTCATTTACAGCAGAATATACAGAAGGGGAAAAAGTGGAAGATGCACAGCCTCTTCAACAGCCCTGCAAACACACCTTGGACACGTTTCTAAGCAGGAAATTCTGCCACTTCTGTTTTTTCAATAATAGCTCAATAGTTCAGTCACAAAGTTGCTTCTTATTCTCTCATAGGTCTGTTATTATGTAGGTAAATAATACATCTTAAATAGTTAATATTCTCCATATCAATAAAAGGACTTAAGAATCAGAAGCCCACAGGAACTCAAATCCACAAGTCATCTCTCAGTAGTTATACACCTGGCTGAAATTACAAGACAGAAACAGAAGTCCTGAGTACAAACTCAATTAGGCTTTCATCATAGTAGCAGGAGGATGGACTTACTAAGAGGGTTTTGGTGTTTGTTTTTTTTTTCGCTTAGGCTGGCATGGAAATGGTGAAAGGAAGTGGCTCGGGGAGGAGGGAGGAAGCAAGGCAGAGCAGCTTGTTTTATTTTCATTTTAAAATTACATTAATTGAATTTAGTACAGTGAAAAGTGCTGTCTTGGGCTGTTCAAAGGGTTGACTAAAAGTTCTATCTCCACAAAACAGCAGTGACAGTGCATTTTTTTTCCCCTTGATTTTTAAAATGCAAATGAGGAGAAGAGGAACGATGCATTAAATCTTACGCTTTCTCATTCTGTCCTTTGATACCATGGTGTAAATCAGGAATGATTTCTTGAGGGCAATGAAATTAATTCAGTATAAAATCAGTGTGATTCAGTTTTATTTTTGCAAAGTCTTGATGTCTTTTAACAGTTTATTTACTTTTTGTTTGAGTAAACAAAATGGTTTAATCTTAATTTTGTATTTTTCTGTGCTAAGTTAGTAGCTAGAAGCACAGAGGACACTGTGAAGATAGTCAGTGAAGGTAGCATGGCAGTGTCACAGAAGCTCGTGGTTAAACCCTTCTGTGACTCAATGAAAGGTTGCTTCAGGGAGGACAAAAAAAAATAGTTCATGAATAAGCCATGTTCAGTGGAACAGATGTCTTAATTTGGGAGTAACAAGATTGGAAATCAAACTCTGAAGTGTGAGATACCACAAGTCTGGTATATCATTGATGATGAATCAGAGAACAATTGTTTCTCACCTTCATTGACCTCTGAAAATAATTGGTCTGCATCATGTTACAATGCAGCACTGTGCCACAGATCCTGGGAATCTCAATATAAAGGACTGAGCTAAAAGTTCTGCTGAAATTTGAAAGTAACTAAGAGCAATGTAAAAAGCGCTGTTGTGCTGCAAGAGTGATGTAGAGCTGTGATTTGTGCTAGAAGCAGGAAGGAACAATTGGCACAGATTGAAACTGCACACTTTCAACAGGATGGTGCCAAGTAGCCGCTATCCAAACACAGAACAAAGCCAAAGGGAAGAAGCATAAGGAAGGCTGCAGCTGCTCTGAACAGTGAACAGAGAGCCAGTAGTGCTATGGTTAATATTATAAATTGAATAGAAAAAAATCATACAGAAAAGTGAGTGTGGCTGGACATTACAGCATCTTTGCCCAGGTGCGCTTCTCATTTGCTTCAGGCTGAGGGCACACTATTGCTATACATATTTTCAAATTTGTTAGTGCACTGCATTCATAATTTTTGTAACTTTTTAATGTATGTCATGGCTGAAAGTGAGGATGTCAGCATTTAACCAGATGAGACTGAGAAATTATGTGACTAGAAATATCCAGAACACTTGAGCATGGTGTAAAAGAGATGTGACTGGAAACAAGTTGGGAGTTTATTTCTCCACTTAAAAGCCAGTGATTAATAGTATGGACAAGTACCCACAGGAGATTGCTGGAGTCCCTGATGAAGCTCTAGTTCACTTCATTGGGGCCAGTTTGTAGTAAGGCAATAGTGTATATATTTATCCTTCAGTAAGACATGTGAAGTCCGGTGTTCGGAGTTTCACTGGACTGCAAATCTTGTGTTGAGATTCCAGATAAAGGAATGTGTTTGGCTTTGTGGTTTGCACCAGGGGATGGTTGGCTTCTTAACTGCAACCCAGTCTAGGAGCTGCTAGCTAAGTTAGGCTTTTTCCTACTCTGTGCTGTCACTGCTCTGCAAAGCACAGCAGGTCTTAGTGACACCAGGGAGGTGCAATTTCTTTTTACTTCTGTTATAACTGAATTAAACTAAATGGCAATTTGGCATATCATGTGTGGAGTGGGATGGGATCCAGCCCATCAGGTGTTGTGCTTCATGTGCATGTTTGACCAGAGTAAAAGCTGAAGCAAACAAGACCTCACTTGAATAACCTACAGTTCTTCCAGCTACAGATTTTCTTAATGGCAGTAGAGTCGATAGGTCAGGGTACTATCTTAAACTCACTTGTGGGAGGTATCTCAATCTACTTTCATGCAAGTCAGTAGATTTAGATGAAAATTTTGCAGAAGGTAATGCTTCACATATGTTACTTAGTTCTTTCTCTTTTAAGTCTTGGGGTTTTGTTTTATATTTTGGGGATAGTTCAGACATCCTGATCCCGTCAGGGATATCCATATTCTTTTGCCAATGTAATCACTTAACAGCACTCTGTATTATTTGAGGACAAGGATATAGTAAATAATAACAAGTAAGAAGAACTTCGAATTCTATCAGCAGATGCTGATGTTCGTCCACACCACAATGGCATTCATCACAGTGCTGAGTTTATCCAGGAGGGTAAATTAAAAGAGTAAATGAAACCATAATTAAGTACCTTTTTATTAGGATCATGAAAGCTTTGGAAGGAGCTAGAGAACAGTAGAAGCTATGTTTACACTGCAAACATATGACCATCTAGTTTTGCTTATTTTTAAGCTTTTGTTGATGTCAAGCATCAACATATGACAAGCATCAACAAAAGCCCTAAGTCTGGTGTGGCTCAACTGGCAAAACTTCTTATTGATAGAATGCACTTTGAGTTGTGAGAGGTGGAATACAGTGTTTCAACAAAAACACAGTTTTAGTGGCAGAAACAGCAGGAGCATCAAGGATGTTGGTGCTGCACTGCCGAATGGTCACAATGTGGGCTGCAGGGTCATCATTACTCACATGACCTTACCTAGCTGGAGAAGATACTGGTGGGAATTTGTTTGCTTAGAAGTTGCTAACTGCTGGATGGTGTTCTAATAGCAAAATCGTCAGTAGTGACTGTCTCTAACCAGTTCTTCCTTTCTATTTTGCTTTGTTTCTCCTGCAGGGCTTGTGAAGTTGGGGGTTCACTGTGTCACGTGTCAGAAGGTCGCGATAAAAATTGTCAACAGAGAGAAGCTCAGTGAGTCGGTGCTAATGAAGGTAATTTTCTAATGGGAGATTTAAAAAAAAAATTAGATTCCTGGCTCTGTGTCTTCTGTTCCATGCAAAATTAATATCTTTAATTAAGTATAACAAACATCCCTGTCAGTACTAGGATTATGCAGAGCATAATAACAATAATTCAGTTATGGGGGAGGCTAGGGCAGCTGAAATTAAATGGGAGTATGCCTGTGCTTTGTGAACAAAATAAATGGTCTACTGCAGACGTCTTGCTTCTCTGCTGGGGCAGGTGTGTGTTGGGCATTTGACTTCCACCACTGCAGTGCTGTGATTGGGGTACATTGCAGACTGAGGTGTACACACTTCAGCATGAAGAGATTTAACAGAGGGCTAGTGAATCTGTTACTTGAATACTCCTGCTGCTTGCTCTGATGCATGGGTTCTTTATGATCTGGTGTGCCAAGGTCTATGACTGTTTAAAGGTACTGTAATTCTGTTTACAATCCACAAGAGCTGTGCCATTGGAAACCATCAAAGTGGTTGTCCCAATGGTCCCAATGACTGTTAGTGTTCAGAAGAACTTAGTTTGTTTTTTACCTAGCCTTGTGATTCTCCTCACATGAATGTCATTGATTGATCTTGGAAACCTAAAAATAAAATAAATGTATGCATAACAGTTTATTCATGTGATTTGGTGACTAGAAAGGCTAAATTCATCTTGATGGGAGGGAACACAACTGCAGTGCAATCAACGAATTCCATCACGCTGTCACCTGCAAATTACGCTAACAGGTTCGTGTGCAGTGTGGAGCACTTTATCGAGGTAACTTCCCCATATAAGCACACAGAGCATATGTGTTTATACTGCTGTTTCCTATATGGACTTCTGTGTCAGCTGTTTCCAAGCACAAGTAAGTATAGCAACCTTACTCAGAGCAGAAAGAAGATGGATTTTAAGCTAAAATATAGTCAGTGAATGTTACACAAAAAATATAAGTTTGTTTTTTTTCAGAGAAGAATTCTGAAAGTTTACATTCAATTGTGATGTGTTCAGATTTTACCTTTCTGGAATTTCATTAATCTATTCCCTCTCCTGCAGCACTGTGGATTCAAACAGACTTCTAATATAGACCAAAAGGTAGAAAGTGAAATAGGTGAGAAAACTGTGTGTAAATGGTAAAATCTGAATGAGACACTAAAGACTGGATATTTTCCAAAGTAAAATAATAGGAATATTTTTTGAAAACAAGAGTATTTTGTTCTCTAAGAGACACTGTCTGGTATTTGTATAAAACATTTTATTTACTTCACTGATTTTCGGAGTAGGAGGCAAATCACTTAGCATAGCAAAGCAATCTCTCTGCTTTAGTTGTGTTGCATTACCTCGGTTGTAGTATGAAATCGGAGTTGTGAAATGGTGTGTTAGGCCCTTGTTTACACAGCCACATGCTGAAGCGTGCCATGTTTATTGTAGGATTGTACAGCATCTTTCTCAGGAGGAAATCACATGTTGTATTGTGGTTCTCATTTTCAGACCCTTCTTGGTGAGATTTTCTCTTTCAAGGATTCTGTTCTCTGTGCTCAGGAGGTTGGAACAACAGATGGGATTGAAGTGGTTTGCCCAGTTCTTGCATAAATTCAGTAACCAGATGTCTTTTCAGGAATGCCCTGCATCTGATGGTCACAGACAGGGCCTGAGAGTTCTAAGTGAATTTAGAATTGACTGTACTGTTAGCAAGCTTAATCCAGTCTGGCTGGAGGGAAAAACCGCAGTTTTTGGCAATCCCAAGTGTGACTATTGCGAAGCATCCAGCTGACAGCCTGTTGTGCGGAGTCAGGAGCCACAGGGAAATAGCCAACAGTGAAGCCACGTCACAGTAGTGTGGTGGCATTCCTACTTTATGCATCTTCCCACTAGCTTATCAGTTCTAGTGACTTTCTTTGCCAGTGGGCTATGCAGAACAGCCCCTGGAGCCAAATGATTCAAGACCACACCTACTCTCCCAAGCCAGGCCCAGATTGATGGATTTTGCTTTAATCCAGCCTTGGACAGAAAAACTGGATCTGACAAACATGTACACCTGCCACATGAAGCTGTAACAGTGCAGTGGTGTGGCCATTTATCCTAGAGCATAAGGAAGAAGTGTGCTCACGGTCCTTTCAACATCTGAAGTGACAGGCACGAGCATATACAGCAGGCTGCTTTCCTTGTCATCATTATTCTATTTTGACTTGCTTCTTGTAGCCTTCATTTCTCCAGTGTTTTCGCAGTATTTTATTCTGTACGTTCAGAAAACTGTCCCTTCTCTCTGCAGCTGCTCTTCATCTGAGCTGTGCAGAATTGAGAGGCATTTGGTAAAGTGCTTTCTAATCATAATGCCGTAGTATCGATATTTCTGGAGAGAAAAATTTGGAATTGAAGCAGCTGGTCTCAATTAGCAGAACTGCTGCTATGGAGATGATACACGGGCAGACACGATGCAGCACAAGCTGCAGTAAATGTATCATCCAAGCACTCACTGCCCTGTCAAAGGACAGGGCTGCTCAGTGCCCATGCGAGCCTTTTGCTTTGTCATGTCCTTACTCGCTAAATGCAGGCTGGGGAGCAGTGTTCCTTCCCCAGCTCCAGCCTGTTTGGGAGCCTGGCTTTGGGCAAAGCTACAAATGTAATTTCACAGTTGAGAACAAAGGGATGGTTCTGTTCTTGCTCCTGCTTTCACACAAGTGGTAAAAGCTTCATCTGGGTTTCTTCAACTGCGCTGCAGTAACCTCCACAGATGTGGAGACTTGCTTCCCACCATACCCCTAGCTTGCTCTAGCACAAATTGGCAGAAAGATTTCAGAAAGGAGTGTGTTGCAGTGAGCATCTTGAGAGTGAAATACACTTCATTGATTTCCCTGAATTACTTCTGGATCGCTGACAGGGAAATTAGGCCCAGAATACAAGAGTTGAATGTATCCTTAAAGCAGTAAGCTTTCCTGAGCAGGCAGGTTCACTGCTGATGGTTTTAATTTTCAGTACCACTACAAGGGTTTGGAGTTTATAACTTCAGAATATAAAGGTTAAAGTAAATCCTTCCTCTGATGTGGCAAAAGCTTGTTTGGAAACGTTGAGGTGTCTCATGAGACGTAGTCAGGAGAATCCTTTCTCTTGTTTACTGCCTCACTAGTTCTCTTCCACTCGCTCCTTCCAAAGAATAAACAACAACAAAAAAACCTCCTCGTTTGGTGATCCATCAGACAAAATACTCTTTGGACAGACAAAGGTAGTAGCAGTAATGGGAGCATAAAGGGTGAAGAGCGAGAAGGGGACAGCTGGCCCTGGTCTAATTACTTGAACACACGGGCATCCTGAGAAAGCCACAGATGTCCCAGGCTTGATGGTTGGAGCCCAAAGCTCCATATGTGTGCTTTGTGTCCATGTGCCTTTTGTTTCTTCTGAGTCCTCCAGTGCTGGCCTTGAAGCAAGGCAGATATTTCCAGGGTGGGGGATGGGAAAGAACACAGTCCCATTTTAGTGGAGCTCAGTTGTGACACAAGTACTGGTTTTGGGGAAGCTGTCAGTTGGTTTAATGCCTTGTAGTGCTAATGAGCTCTGCTTCTAAAAAATTCTGCGAAGGCATAGTGTGTGTTCTTAAGCTGGGAAGGTCTTGCAATAATCGCTAATGGAAGTCACTGGTTGCCTGAAATAATTGAGTGGAAGGATAGGTAGGAGATCGAGTGTCAGCCTCTTGGAATTGACAGGATAACTGAGGGAAGCATACTTGTAAATGGGCACTGCTTTGCATGTCTTTTCATCATCTCTTGCTTCTTCGTGAGCTTCTGTTTCAGTAGGTGTTTATTTCTCTGCTACCTTATCCTACTTTTGAGTCTTTCCCTTTCTTCTCCATTCTTCAAGGAAAAAAGTTTAGAAATTGGGCACAATTTAGAAATTATCTGAGAGAGTAAGTAAACAATCGGAGCTTGTGTTTTTCTAAGGCTCAAGGGACTCAATCCACCTCGTTTACTAAAGAGAAGGCTAAGACACAGCTTAATCATGGTCTGTAAATAGTGATAATGAGGATAGGCATGTGATAACAGAGGGTATTACAGTCTTGAGTACAAAAAGCATATTGGAAACTAATAGTTATAAGCTGTAAGTAGACTGAATGTAGAAATACTCGCCCTGTTTGATCACTGGATGAAGTTACTAATTGGAACTAGCCACCCAAAGCTCTAGCGAGTTTGTCCCCTCAAAGACTATTAAACTTCCTCTTAAACTGCAGTATGATTTTCTAAAACTGAGACCCTAGTTCAACTTCAGCTGCTGGACTTGAAGCAGGAAGTAGTTGATAATGGTTTCCTGATCTGTGCTATGCATTAGCTCTGATTAGATTAATGCAGCAGCCTCTCTGGCCTTAAAATCCATGGAGCTGTGAATTTCCATCACACACTTGAAATCTGTAAAAAGTCACATGTCTCTGTATGGCGCATAAAGAGAGGCACTTGTGCAAGGTGTCTGCAGAAGCAGAAATTTAGGCTCCCCCAAGTGAAGTTAAAGAAAGTAATACTTGAGAGCATCATCTTCTCTTTGGAATTTGTTTTCAGATTTTTCAAAGAAAAGACTGTGATGTTGGCTGACCTAGCTGTCCTCAACTGCTGACTGCAGGCTGGTTCATTACTAGAATATCAGAACAGTATCAGGGAGAAGCTAAATCCAAGGCAGAGACAGAATTGGACTGAATAGTGTAACTTGGTTCGAGTTCAGCTTTGATCATAACAAGGGCAGTTTCTCTGACATTAACAAAGCCAAACTCACCAACACTAAACCTCAATTCCACCAAATCAATATTTTTTCTAATGTACTCAATAGTGGCCTAATTGTTTTCCAGTGCAGTATTTAGGAGGTTTGCTATTGATTGCAGTGGAAATGGTGTTAACCTGCTGCTGAATCCCACTGAGTACATCTACCACTGGGTACAAGGGAACACAAGACCATGGGATATCATCAGTGAGATGCATTTAGATTAATCTAGGATACTGGCAGACAAGATTTTGGA